TGACAGTGTCTAAAATTCTTATGTCCCTCCGCCCTGAGATACCAGGTCTTTGTTTCTGCCACAGTGTCTTATCTTCATCATTACCCAATTACCTCAGCATGCTGGGAATAAAAGCACCTAAGTTTTTAACTAGCCCGCATTACTAAACTTGGAGGTGAAGAACCTCACATGGAGTCTTCGGCCTGCCTGTGGCGCAGAGTGTACCAGAGTTTCTTATATGCATGTGGGAGGTGGGCAAGGGTTTCACCACCTCAGCTGAATGCTGGGAAGCAGCCCACCAATTCAGAACACATTGGCTGTGAACAAGCAACAACTGGCAAGTCAAAGGAATTGATGTTAGCATAGCCTCAAAAGGAAGGATTAACCAAGGCTCTTGAGAAATTGAATCATAAGCTTTAATAAATTTCACTACTTCAGACTGTTAATTCTGTTCTGGGGGCTTATCCTACGGAAATAATCAAGCCTGCAGAAGGGCTTTTGTGCGCGAAGGTATTCATCAAGATGAAAAGGTGCATATTCAACGACCGGAAAGTGATTTTAAAAGTCAAGTACATAAAAGGATATTATATAGTAATTTAAAGCCATATTTATAAAAAATGTTCATACTGTAATACAAAAAGCGAATGATCTACTTATAAAACTGAACATGCATTATGAACACAGCTCTGGATGAGGGATTTCGCACAGGGGACAAAGATTGAAAGGATCTAAGTCAGAAAGCTAACAGAGAGAAAGTTTGTACAGAATGGCCATGAATTTGTAACTCATTTACTTCTTTTGACTTGTCTACGCTTTCCAAATTTTCTTACAATGAGCAGATATTACTTACAAAGCGAAGGTTTTGGGTTGTTTTGGTTTTTTTTTTTTGCTACAAATTATCACCTAAGCAACTAAGATCATTTCTCAATATGTTCAAAGAACATCAAAAACACTATCATAGATCAGCCCAAGAAAAACCCCACTGGAAAGATGATCTTCATCTATGGGTAGAGCTACATTCACTCTGAGCAAGGGATGGAAGAGCTGACTTCTAGCCACATGGTGAGGGAAGGTGAAAGGGCTCCCAAGTTTTCACCACCTTCAATATCACAGACTTCAAACAAGCGATGGCCTTCCCATGCAAACATAGCCTCAGAGGCCACCTGCTCTTCCCACAGCCAGACTGCAGTCTCCTTGAGCCTCGGCCTCCAAACAAAATCACTTCCTACGTGATTACGGGGCAAAGTCTTTTAAGTTGAGGTATGATTAATGGCATGGTGATTTTTTTTTCCTTGTCCCAAAGCAAGAGTTAAAGCTAAGGACAAATGTCTTGAGTAGGACACCATTGAGAACACACAAAGCAACATTCTTTCTTCTTAGCAGGACAATTAGCAAACTCGCTCCCATCTTTAATTTCAAGAGCACATGGGATGAAATGTGGGATGAAAGTGAAAAGAACAAACAGCAACCAAGAAGGTCAGCAATAACTGTCTTTCACCGTCGAGGCCAACAGCTTCATCCAGTTGCTTATCTTTTCCATCCCACACCATAGAGCTGTGACAAGTGACAGAGAGAGGAGAGAGGACAGGAGCTAAGACAACGAGCCAAGGCTATCCAAACCCCCGGCAGGCTAGCCCAGTTTCTTAGCTACTTTTCCTAGTACTCAATAAAACATCCTAACAAAGGCAACTTAAGGGAGAAAGGATTGATTGTGGCTCAGACATCTGAGTTACAATCCACTGTGACAGAGGGCTCACAACAGCAGAAGCGTGGGACAGCTGGTTGACGACATCCACAGTCAAGCAGCAGAGAGTGATGACCGTTTGCGCTCCGCTCCCCTATATACAGTACTGGATCTTAGCCCAGGGAAAGGCGCCACCCACCGCATGAGTCACCTCAATCAGCATAGCCTCCATGGGCATCTCCAGAAGCCATCTCCCAGGTGACTCTAGACCTCATCAGTTGACAATTGAGATTAACCGCCAGAGCCAAGTATTTACACATCCTCGATTTGTCTCACTAGTCATTTCCTAGAGATGTGGGGAAGCTACAAGCCATCATCCTGAACACATACATGCGCTGTGATAAATAGTACTGGGCATCCAATAGCATCTTATAATGAGATGGTTAGTTAAGGAAGGTGCAAACAAACAGCACACCTTCATTTGAAACTGAGTCTCCCAACCCATCTTTGATCTCTCCTGAAACACTGTTCTATGATCCCAGCCCATCTTCAGTCTCTCCTGAAACTCTGTTCTATGATCCTGACATTTTGCACTTCTAGGTTTTTATGGACACAAAAATCTGTGGTGTTGTTAGAATAAAGGTAGGTCCTGATTTAGGAGATTTAGGTGATGCGGACACTAACGAAATTCTGATCTCTGAGGGCAAAACCCAGGTAGCTGTATGGTTCCCCCTCTCAATCCAATATATAGCTAGCCGTGAACAGGACACTGCAAGCTGGCAAAATGATTTAGCAAGTAAAGGCATTTGCTACCAAGTCTGATGACCTGAGTCTACCCCCAGGTCACATGTGATAAAGGGTAAGAGCTGACTCCCTCTGGTCTCCACATGTGCACCATGGCATTGTGTGCATGCGTGTGTGTGTGTGTGTGTGGCGTGCACGCACATGCTTAACTAAGTAAGTACTAATTGTTTTAGAGTAAGGTAGAAAGCAATAGAGGAGGACACTGGACGGAAAAACTAAAAAGAAGGTCACTGGCATTTCCAACTCTGGGCGCTACCAATCCTTCTCCACGGCCCAGAACACCGGCATGACAGTATTGGCCTCGGAGGTGCTGTAGAGATTAACAGAGGAAAAAAAAAGAAGAGAGAAAGAAGACAGGTGAGACACTCAGGGCCCAGCACGCTGAGCTCTCAGACATATTAGCCACAGTCAGCATTTTGCCAGCAATCCTGCCCTTGCTCGCGTGACTGTTACTGAAGCAGGCTGACACAACAAGGAACAGATAAAAGGACAACGCAATAGAGCTCTGGAGAAAAGTAAGAGATAAGAAAATGTGAGCCGAGGAGGAGGTGCCTGAGAGTAGCCCCCCACCCCCACTCCAGCAAGCACATGGTGGGCGGAGGGAGCTGCTGCGGGGAGCAGATGCAGTTGGTAATTACAGTAACAGCTATCATTTCCTTGGGCTTTAATGTCTGAAAAGCCCCAGCTATGGTACCTCGCAGGGATGCTCCAAGCAGAATGTGGGGCTGCCTGTTACTTCCTAGAAAGCCACATGTTGGCCTGTCTTTTCTTTTTTTCCCCTTGGGGTAGAGGGGCAGGAAGACTGGGTGCCACCAAGTGGAAACCACAATGAACAGGGTGGCAAGGCAAGCATGGAAGCAGCCTCCGGAGTCAGGAAGAAAATAGCAAGTACAGGAACTATTCAGATCCTTGGGAGCAGTGATGTCAGGGTTAACATCACTGGGGATGTTCCTGTCTGGGGACTAGGCTGGTGTGATGAGCCCGGGGTTCCTCCTCCTCAAATTTATCTTGTCCCACACCCTTTCCCTTTTCTATGGTGATCCCTTCTTCTCAGACTGCTTCTAAGAGCCATTTGACATGAATCTCTACCCGGCTCTCATCCTTAGTTGCCTTCTGGATATCAAGGAAGCTAAGTGACATCTGACCACTTTACAGAGATGCTTCAAAGTCACTACCCTCCGCACGGAAGGGAGTATAACTTCCATGAGTAAGTAGGTTTTTAAACCTAAACAACCAGAAGTGCATAGGTTAAGCAATTATTAGAAGGCAGAGATTACAACCCAAGACATCTGAAGACGATTCTAGAGAGCTTGGCTTTGTCCTGCATTCTGAGTCTATGTTTAAATATCTTTAGCCATGATCATTTGAGGTTAACCTTCCCCATCACAGCTCCAGACAGAAATGCGTGAGTTCAGGTCCCCAGGTGACAGCCATGGTGCTGAGACCTTTAGAGTTGACCCATGCTCCCTCCGTGAAGATGAGGAGCGGACAGGGCCAGACCTGGTCACCTAACTCCACAACAGAACTCTGACTCAACATCTCACGCCAGTGTCCTTAGTCTTCCCAGGAGCAGTACGGCAGAAGCCTAGGGCATCTTCATTAACAGAGACATGAGAAGGAACTGAGCAATAAAAAAGTCTACGGCATGCCCCTGTGGCTCTCAATTCCGAACCTCGATTCCATTGTCCCGGCACCCCCAACCACCTGACCCACTCTCGCTACAAATTTTGAAAAGTCCACAGTTCAAGATTCCTAAGACAACAACACAGTTCACTTTTCCTATTTCTATCATCTTCCCTTTTAAGTAAAACACACAAAACCCAAAAATGGCTCTTTTTACATAAAAAATATTTTTCCTGGATTCCATAAGATTCTTTTTACATAAGATTATTTTCCCTAGGTTCCATACTGTTCCCAGTAAACAAGAAGCCATAGGTCCAGAAGACAAAGTTGTTTCCCAAGTTAAATCAATTAAAGATCCAGAACTCAAAATCAAAAGTCACTGTATCTCTGGCCATGGTTCTAGCATTAGCCAAAGTGATTCCTCATAAAATGTGCAAACTGGTGGCCAGTAGGGGAAAAAAAATCAACAATAAATCCTGATTTAATCTTAGCTTCTCTGAAGGCTCATTGACAAGAGAATGATCCTAACTGCAAAGTTAGCTCGGCCACGATGGCCCCGACCACATCAGCTAGCTCTGATAAACCGGAAGACGGAAAGTAAAGATGGGGAAGGAAAGGTTACCGGTCAGAAATGTATTTCCCCTTGGAGAGTTTTCCGAGCCCTTTAAAAAAAAAAGAATCACTAATGCATTGTTCTGCAAATGATACAGCCCTATTTAGAGAAAGGCGGCAAAGTAGACTATTATTTTGTCGAAATCGGTTACCATGGCAGCCTGAACCCTTGACTCTGCATGGCCTTCGGCTTATACGTTTAAATATACCTCTATGTTATATCCAGTTGTTTGGTATTTGTTACACAATACCTGATAGTGAAACCAACGCCTCCCAATTATGTGGAGAGTGTTCTCACCTGTGAACGCATTTGTGGCCTGAAAACCAGCTTCCGGCATACTGCTCCCCAGACAAGCCTGTGTTTCAATTCTTAACTAGTCCTGTTGTGAAGAAACCGCCCTGGCAAGGCCTCAGGTCACTTCCATCTTAGCCTGTCCAAGTCCATCACTCTGCTGGTCCAACTTGGGGGAGCATCTGATGCCCGCCGGCTGTGCTCCCACACCCTGTGAGCAGGCACTACCTGGATGACACACAGTCCAACAGCATGTGGAACACACAGTCACATCAGCCGTCCAGCCAGAGAGTTGAAGCCATGGTGGGGTCAGGAACGGAGAAGCTGTCCTGCTGAAATCCCGCTGTCCCACCTCAAAACAAAGGTCTCCTCGGCCTCACGGCGGCCAGCATCTCCCAAGAAGTAGGCAGTCGCAGCCTCACCAGGGGCTCTCGGGATGTTCAGAGCAGATACTCTCTGCGCTCTGCTTCTTCTGTTCTGGCTGAAATTAAAAAGAAAGAAGTCACTTTCTTCAGAACCTTGGGAACCAGTGAGAGCAACAGACCTGCCGGGCATGGTGGTGTGTACCTGTCGTCCCAGTCCTGGGAGGCTGAGGCAGTCACTGAGAGCATGGGAAGCAGACTTTACATCGAGAGACCTTGCCTCACAAAACAACACAACAGCAGATTAATAGGCCGATAAAATCAAGAATTAAAACACAGCTCAGCCATGACCATGACCCTTCTGTGAACGTTGGGGTAAGGGGTGAGGGGGACACTCCCACTTACAACCCTCAAACACATCCATTTTTTTAAGCCACTCTAATAGAGGATATAAGTCTACAATCTCCAAACATCTTTCTTCGGCTACTTAGACTTCACACACACATACACACACACACACACTTAAGGAACTGATTTTCCAAAGTTGAATCCTGAGGTCTTAGAAGTGGTCTTTAGTTCCATCGGTGCTCCAAGAATGGGGAATGAAGATCTGGAAGAAGCTTACACCATAATGAAATGAAGCTTATCCAAGGGATGAAAGATGACTCATCCCTTGGACATACATCAGAACACATGACACGGCCCACCAACAGAATGAGGACAACTCCAAACAACCAGCTACATAGAAGCAGAAAAGACATTTAATAAACTTCACTATCTCACCCACTCCCCCCTCCCCGGAGAAAAGCATTAGGTATAGAAAGAACACACCTCAGCACAAAAAGGTGACATAGGACTGCAGCCAATACCATTCCAATGGGAAAGGCTGAAAAGTTTTCATCTGAGACCAGGAACAAGGCAAGCACATTTATCAACACCACACTCACCACAGCACCAGATGCCCTAGCTGGAGAAAAGAGGCAAGAGAAAAAAAAATGAAAAGCATCCAATTTAGAAATGAAGCTAAACTGTCCTTGCTGGCAGACACCTGGATTTCTATAAGCAGAAGAACATAGTCTACTAAAGATCACTAGAACTAATACATTTAGTAAAGTTGAGAGCTAGAATATCAACACTTTATAAAAATAAGAACCATTTTTATATATCAGTGCAAACTTACTAAGAAAGAAATAAAAATATTCCAATCCACAATGCCTACAGGAAGCCGGTGTATTTAATCCCAGCACTCAGGAGGCAGAGGTAGATGGATCTCTGTGAGTTTGAGGCCAGCCCTGTCTACAAAGCAAGTTCTAGGACAGTCAGGGCTATGACAAGGAGAAACCCTGTCTTAAAAAACAAAAACAAAGGAGAAGGAGAAGAACACAGACAGAAGATAGACAGACAGACAGACAGACAGACAGTTAGAGGTAGGGAGGAAAGAAGGAAGAAAAGTATGCCTACAAGGAGGAGGAAGAATAGAAGGGAAAGATGGAAGGAAAGAGGGAGGGAGGGAGAGGAAGAGGAAGGGAGGGAAAGAGGAGAGAAACTAATGTTGGGAACAGAAGGCAGCGAGGGCCAGTTTATGCTTACACAAGATAGGACTGACGTGGACATCTGGTGAGCTGTGGGTCAGCACAAAATGACTGACACCGGATGTCTGGGGAACCCCAAAAGTAAACAGTGATCGTCTCCATTGCATAACTATTGTTCACAGAATGCCATTTTTGTGTGAGCTCTGTATAAATACAGCCTTGAGGTTAGAGGCATACGCTTTGCCAGCCTGCCTGTGTGTTTGTCTCTATATGTTGCCTACTTCTCTGTGGCCTGTGTACCAATCTGTATATGTGCTTATGTGTACCCGTGTGTGGCCCATGTGTGACACCACGTGCCTGGGTTCTAGCCAGCAGCTACTTGTCTAGTGGTCCCTGGGCTGGTGAATTAAGTGTGCCTTATATGCTTGAAGCTCCTCACAATCTCTTTGAATTCTCAGCCTCCATGAAGCCTCCTCCATTCCTGGCATTACAGCACATTTGAAACAATGCATTTAACAAATAAAGTAAGATTTTTAACAATATAAAGTTGCAAAACTCTGATGAAGCATATTGAAGTGAACACACACACAACTGGAAAGATAGACCATGTCCAGGGATTAGAAGAATTACTATTGCCAAAATGACCATACCATACAACATGATTTACAGATTAAATATAATACCCATGAAAACCGCAATGTTATTCCTTCTGAGATAGCAAACTAGTTCTAAATCCATATGTAACCATAAAAGATCCTAAATCCAGGACTGGAGTGGTGGCTCAGCAACTGAAAGTACTTGCTGCTGCTCTTTTAAAAGACCCAAGTTCAGTTCCTAGCTCAAAACTGCCTATAACCCCAATACCAAGGTATCCAATTCTCTCTTCTGACTTCCTTGGATGCTCACAAACCCATGACACATACACACTCATGCACATTCACACATACAAAGAGCCTTAAAAATATTTATCTTCTAAAGGATCTTTTAATTTATCCGATTACAAAGACGTCGTGAGCAGAAGACTGGGAGACATCTAGACACCTAAACTCCAAATGTACTGCGAAGCAGCCAAGCGCCCGCAGGAAATAGCACACTGACTTACGCGGCAGCAGAAAGGACCCAAAAGTGCACATATTTACAGCCAACTGGTCATTAACATATAAGGCATATAAGGCACCAAAAACACACATTAAAGAAAAAACTAGTCTCTACCCTAAAAAGTGCTGAGAAAACTGGAAATTCATATTGAAAAGAATGAAACTGGACCCCCATCTCTCACCACATAGAAAAAGCAATCCCAAATACAGCACGGGTAGAACTATGAAAGGCCTGGCGTTTGTTAATATTGCCTTTTGGTTTGGCTTGGTTTGGTTTTATATGCCCCTAGAAGCACAGGAAACAAAAGGCAAAATTAATGAATGGACTTAACATGAAACTAAGACTGTCTTTCGCATTGCTAAGATAGTCAACAGAGCACAGACAACCTACACAATGAGAGGAAATCCATGCTCCTCAGACTAAGGAAAAATATCCAGAATATACATCAGGGGGGATTATATATATAATAGGCTGAAGACATGACTAGAAAGACCTTTAGAGAACATCTGAAAACAGTCAGGAGTATAAGAGCAAATGCCTCTGAGAGACCGGAGCCTGGCTCCTCAGCCTGCAGCCCTCCGTCTGGCTTCCCGGCACTTCACATAGTCTACTCCATACAGGTGTCCTGACCACAGGACACATTTCTCTCCCTGCCCGTCTCATGAGGACAAAGGCGGTGGCTATTTGATTCTCTAAACCTCCTCAGCACACACAGCCCTGCCTTTGCCTGATAGGTGCCCAGTGAAGAAATCCTGAAGGAGTATCTGAGCGAAGGAAAGCAGTGGTTCAGCACAATGCTTCCGAAACACTGTTCCTCCCACGAGGTAAATGGGTGCACAGACAAAAATTCAGCAAGTATTTGTTACATAAACCCACCCCCAAGCCTTGAACTTACGAGTGCTATGCACCAAGTGTCTTCAGCTCTGACCCTCTTGACTAGAAGAGGGGTGTCTTTCACGCCCTAGCGGGGCTATATAGCAAGTACCCTATCTGGTAAAGACCTTTAGAGGCCGCTGACTAGATGTTCTTTAAATTCTAATGTCTAGTCTCATTTATCAAGACTTCAGAGGCAGAAAAATCTACCCTACAGAGTCTAATTGACCCAACTGTCCAGGGTGTAGGAGAGCCACGACTTACATGTATCGCTGGCACTGTTCTCCCCAGCCTCTGAGCCCGGGGTAGTTCTCAACTTCCAAAGCCTGAAGCTTGATAATAATATCAAGGTGGGAGGAGACTTACTGAGTACAAAAGGTCACAGGCTCAGCCTGAGCCACACACACAAGATCACACCCTCTGAAGATAGCCCATTGGCATCACACACACACACACACACACACACACACACACATTTATGCTTGCTCAGATGGTCTATTTATCCTGGAAAGACAGGAAGGACTAACCAGGAAATAAATTCACTTAATACTGAACTTGAACGTCTTGAAGCACTTTCAAAACAGAGCAACAGTAACTAAGGAAATAGAACATACCCAGTGGAAAAACACCCCCACAGGAAGGAACATTTTTAAAAACATAAACACTCCCAAAACCAAACTGAGTAAGTCGGAGGATAAGTTTGCCTTGCTAGCTGTTCATAAAAACTTACGTGAAATACAGTCCTCCTGGGAATCATTCAAGAATGAAAACTTCATTCTGCTTTCAGCTTTCACACACACACACACACACACACACACACACACACACACACACACAATCCATGATATAAACAGACTTGAAATCCAGGAAACAGGAAGGTCGCACGGTGGGCGCAGGGGCCAAAGCCCAGCTGAGAAGTGCCAAATCCTTTCTTTCGAAATCAAGTAACATGCAAAAAAAAATTATAGCATCCAAAGAGTCAACACTGGGCTTGTGTTTTTATTTCCTTTCACTGAGGGACGCCTGTTTCACTGGCAGAGGGTCAGTTACCTAGGTGATGGCTAGACTAAGCAACAGAAAGCTGCAGGCCACCAAGGGCCTCGGAGTCCAAGACCTGGCCCATGTCTGATAACCTTTCATTCCTTCCAGGAAGAAAAAAACATCAAAAACAGAAGAGGTGGTTCTCAACTTGGGCAAACTGAGGCACTGTGCTCAAATTGAAAATTGAGCACATTTGAGAATCCTATCATGGCATTAGCAGAATGTCTCAAATGCTGCTGGTACCTTTAAATCCAATGTGGCTAAGGATTTTTCTTGAGGCAGATGTGAGAAAAAGAAAGCTAAGGGGTCCACATCCAACATGGGCTGCAGTCACTTAGATCCTCTACCCAAAGGGCATATGGTAGAGACTTGGGCAAGGGCCAATCCAACTAAAGATTGGGGGGAGAGGGGAGGGAAAAGGAGAGCAGAGTGAGGAGAAGGAAGAGGAGGAGGAAGAAGGGAGGGAGGGAAGAGGGGAAAGGAGAAAAGAGACAAAGAGACAAGAAAGACAAGGGGAGAAGAGAGAGGATGGAGGGGAGAGACAGAGGAGAGAGAGGAGAGGAGAGAGAGAGGGG